CCAGAAGCAGAGGTTGCTGTGGTGGTGAGAATGAGGTATAGGGACACAAGCAAGACACACAAAGGGAAGGCATATATGGATGGCCAGATCCCCAGCAAGATGAGCTGCGAGAGAGGAAGTTCACAAGTACTGCGAGAGAGAATCCACTCCCAAGACTGGAGGGAAGAGAAAAGCTTGGCTTTTCTTCCTTGTTCTCCTTTTATTTACTTCCTCCTCTTTTTCTTGGATAAATGATTATCACTATTTTGAAAATGACATGAAGTTATTTTAAAACATTCTCTGGAGGAAGAAGTAAATCTCTCTCTAGTTACAAATGACATGAAGGATCCACAAAACCCTAGAGAATCCACAAAACTATCAGAATGAGTGGATTAGGGATGCTGCAGGATAGAAAATTAATATGCAAAGATCAATGATATTTCTGTATAGTAGCACTGAACGACCCAAACACTGAGAAAAAAAATCAATCCCATTTATAACAGCAGCAAAAAGAATATTCTACTTAAGAATGATTGTCCCAAGACTTACACAGTGAAAAGGTCAAAACAATGAAGTTATGGGAATAGCATTCTATGCTAATGGTTTGAAAGCCAATATGAAGATGGCAGTATTCCTCGGATTAATCATCAAAACCCTCAGCTTCCTTTCTTCGGTAATTGATAGTTGACCTTAAAATTAATACAAGGGGACACCCTTCCAAAACCAGAGGTTTTTTTTTACCCCAAAGCTCTGTATTTACATATTCTTTAAAAAAAAACAACCTTATCACCTTCAAAGTACTCTTCATTATACTTAATACGTCTATCAAATCTGCAATTCCATTCTTGGAAACATTTTTCAAACTCATCTGTTCAGATGACTGACAACATTTTTTTCAGTGATCTGCATTCTCGGAAACAAAAAGTCGCACAGAGCGAAGTCAGGTGAGTAAGGTGGTGGGGCAAGAGAGGCATGCTGGTTTTTTGGCCAAAAACTGGTGAACTGAGATGGCTGCGTGAGTGAGCAGGTACACTGTCATGGTGGCAAAACCATAACCCTGTCTGCTATAAATCAGCCCCCCCCCCTGTTAATCAATCTTTTCAGAACCTCTAAATAGGAAGTTTAATTAACAGTCTGATCTGGTGGAATCCACTCCAAATACACTATCCCCTTCACATTAAA